TTTCTGCAGTTTCTCTATAGTCAGTCTCCTATTCTTGTCCAGCCCTACTTTGAATAAGCTTGGGATGAGAGCTATAAAAAGAGATTTGATGAGGATAATTCACACATCATTTGTTATGTTTTAAAATGACAAGCATTACAGTTATTCAGTCTTCATTAAAATGTCTCAGATCAATCTCAATAGTCATAAAGATAGATCTCCATTGTGTACAGTATAGAGACCAAACTACTAACCATACTATTCAAACCTCTGTAGAGGCTTTTGCCTTTTTTCACTCTTGCCTTAACTTCTGCCACTTCTAATCCACATTCCAATCTTACCAACCTGCTCTATGCACACCCTAATTACTCATGATGTTTCTAGCAAATCTTGTTTTCTTCCATTCTTTAACTCCACACTCATATTCATCCTTTTAAAATCTAGATTATTGTAAGCACTACTTCTATGTTCCCATGAGCTCCTTTTGGGGAGATCATTCTTTTAAGGTCAAAGGCAATAGAGTATAAAGGTTAGTTATCAAGTCCTGGCGCTGGCCAGTGTGGCTCAGCTGGTTGAAGTGTTGTCCAGTACACCAGAAGGTTTCAGGATTGATTCCTGGTCAGGCACATACCTAGATTGGAGGCTCAATCCCCAGTCAGTGCACATACAAGAAGCAACTGATCAATGTCTGTCTGTCTGTCTCTCTTTTTCTTTTTCCCTCTCCCTGCCTCCTTTTCTCACCCTCCCTCTCTATTTCCTAAGATAATAAAAAATTAAGGGGGGCGGGAGAAGGGGGGGGCGGGGAGAAAGAATCAAGTTCTGGAGCCCAATCCAATACTCTATACTGTATTGCTCTCTTGCTGTGTGTTCCTGCTAACACCAAGCCTTGTTCTCAGCAAGTAGGCAGGATGGTGGTGACACGGCACTGCCAGCCAGCTTCATGGGTTTCCCCTCCCTCACCTCACTGTTGTTTCAGAGTTTTGCAGTCAGTCTGTGGATAAAATTGTGTGATGGGAGCTCCTAATTGGTTTCTCTGCTTTTTTATAGGTGGAGTGCTCAGGTTATGAGCTGGAGCAGTTACAAACCAAAGTGACCTCACTGTGCAACCGGATAGAGCAGATCCAGTGTTACAATGCCAAGGATCGCCTGGCCCAGTCAGGTAAGCCTCTAGCCTCTCTCTGCTTTCCGCTTGCTTACCTCCTGTCTTTATGATTATTACACACACATACACCCTGTGCCCCCTTCCCCACCTTCCATCCTGTGTGCTCACTCCACTTTTTCTCTCCAGACATGGCCAAACGTCTAGCCAACCTTTTGAGGGTGGTGCTGAGCCTTCAGCATGCCCCTGATGCAACCTCCGACTCAACGCCAGATCTTCAGCGGGTCCCTTTGCGCCTGTTGGCTCCCCACATTGGCCGGCTCCCCATGCCTGAGGACTATGCCCTGGAGGAACTGCGCAGCCTCACACAGTCCTACCTTCGAGAACTGACTCTTCAAGAACTGACTGTTGGGAGCCAGTGAGCCCCGGGCTCCTCCCACACTCACATCTCATTCACACTCACCACACAGAAGTCCCCTGCATTGAGTTGATCAGCACTGTTTGTCATTCTCTGAGTTGGCTGCAGAATCCATCCTCCCATCCTGCCACACCAAGCAGTGTCCTCCCATTGTTCAGGGCTTCCTTAATGCAGAACATGGAATAAGGGCTTTTGGAAAAAAGAAAAAAAAAAGCCAAGTCTCTTTTTACCATCCTCGAGATCATTCATTTTTTGCCTTTTCTGAAAACGGTCAATAAGGTACCTTTGGCAGAATCCCCTCAAAGAACCAGGGAATTCTTTTCCACCTTCGGCCATTCTGGGTCTTGTGACCCTCCATGCCAGCCTGCTACCCACTCCTAACCCAGCCCTTCACACTAGGACTCCTTAGGAGTGGGACAGATCGTGGAACAAATGTATTCTTCCTTAACAGATGAATTATCCACAGAAGGAAGGAGAACCTCTCTTTTAAGTAGGTTGATGAGTTAACATTGTGTTGTAGAGTCAAGAGAGAATTGGACTGAGTTAGGAAGCAGAATAGGGTCTTCCTGTGAGTGCCTGCCTCGGAGGGGTAGATCTTCAAGGCTTGTTTGTTCTGCCTTGAATGTTTTGTGAACATCAAGCCTTCCCTGCTGCTGTGTGCAGGAGCCGCTGGTCACAGATCCAAGGCCTCTGGAAAGCTCCCAGGACTCAGTTGGTCCCTGGTTTTCAGTCATCTTGCTAGGCCTCCTGTCTGGATTTGCCTGGGAGTTTATATAAAACCTGGAAGGTTGGGGAGCCCTTCCTGTCCCTCCAATTCTAACCAAAAGCATTTCTCACCCTCCATCTACAGCCCCAGAAGGTAAAACCATCACTGAGGCAGACTTCAGGGGCAGGCAGGGGGCCTTCACTACCCTCCTGCCAGCTAGGGGAGCCCCAGGTAACAGCTTGGGACAAACAACATGGCTACTCCTGGATCTTTATGCATGAAGATTATGTAAAGGTTTTTATTAAAAATATATATATATAAATAAATGATCTAGATTATTTTCCTCTTTTTCTGAAGCTACTTTCTTAAAAAAAAATAAAATGAAATGTTTATAGCATTCATGGTATTGGCTTTCCCTGTGTGTTTTTGAGCCTTCTTGTTTCAAGGAGCTTTATGGTTGTCTTATCTGATTTGCAAACTAAAGGGAGACTGGCCATTGGTTAGAGAGAGAACAGTTTGGTCCTAAACGAACACAGGCTAGATAAAAAACTAGATTTATAAGGGTAAGTTTAAGGGCGAGGGGGTGAGATTATTGGATTAGTCCTGACTGCTGTGCAATGTATATTTATGTACTGGATTTCCAGTGCAGAATAGGGGAGGGGTCTCAAATTGGCCATTTTCATATACTTAACTTCAAAGCCGCCTTGCTCTTCTGCTTTGGGGGAAGAGGGGAAGGGTGGATGGATATTCGATTTTAAACCTTGGGTCACACTTCACCTTCCTAATTCTAGTTTTCATTGTGTAAAGTTGATAATGTTCCCTGTTGCTGCTTCACGGGGCTGTTTTGAGAGGGATCAGATGAAGCTGATGAATACTGTTTGGTTTGGTTGTGGGAATGCAAAATGCTAAGCCAAGAATTATAACAATTACAAACACACACCTAACGACAGACTAGCGAAACATATGAAGCAAAAGACAGAACTGAAGTGAGAAACAGCGTTACGATAATAGTTGAAGACTCTAATACTCCACTCTCATTAATGGATAGAACAGCCAGACAGAAGTAAGGAAATAGGTGATGTAACAAAAAAAACAACTATAATGGCCCTATACAGAATATTTTACCTAGCATTACCATACATTCTTCTCAGGTGCACATAGGACATTTTCCAGGTTAGGCCACAAATGAAGTATAAACAGGTTTTTAAGAGGTAATTATACAAAACATCCTGACCACAACAGGATGAAGTTTGAAATCAACAGAAGTAAAACTGGAACATTCACACATTTGTAGAAATTAAACAACATATTCAACCAAAGGAACAAAGACAAAACCACAAAGGGAATTAGAAAAAAATAAAGATGAACAAAAACAAAATGTGTGAAAATGGTATTAAGGGAGAAATTTAGAGCTATGAATGCTTACATTAAAAAAAAAAAGGGGGGTTCAAATCAACAATCTAACTACAATTTCAGGAACCAGAAAAAGAACAAATTAAACCCAAAGCTAGCAGGAGGTAGGAAATAATAGATTAGAACAGAGATTAGGAAAACAATTGTAAAAAATAAGTGAAACTATAAATTGGTTCTTTGCAAAGATCAACAAAATTGGCAAAACTTACAAGACAAACTAAAAAACCAAAGACTCAAATTTCTGAAATCAGAAACTCAGGAATTTACTACTGGTTATGCAGGAATAAAAAAGGATTGTAAGAGAACACTACATCAACAAATTAGATAACTTAGTGGCCTCCCTCCAGCTGCCATCTTGTGTCCCTGCGTGTGTGTGTGTGTGTGTGTGTGTGTGTGTGTGTGTGCCCTAGACCCCCTGAGCGTCAGCTCTAGTTACCCCACCCCCCACCCCCCACCCCCGCCGCCCGACCCGGCCTGGTTTCCTCTCCAACAAGATGAAAGAAATTTATGAATCAAGAGAAACTTGCTAAACTGCAGGCACAGTGTGCATGGGGTGGGGGGGTGGGGGTGGGGGGAAGGAACTGCTCGTAGAAAGAACAAGGTGGTTCACAGAACAGCTACAGCAGATGATAAAGAACTTCAGTTCTCCTTAAAGAAGTTGGGGTAAACAATATCTCTGGTATTGAAGAGGTAAATATGTTTACAAACCAAGGAACAGTGATCCACGTTAACAACCCTAAAGTTCAGGCACCTCTGGCAGCCAACACTGTCACCATTATAGGCCATGCTGAGACAAAGCAGCTGACAAATGCTACCCCTGCATCTTATACCAGCGTGGTGCAGACAGTCTGACTAGAATAAGGAGACTGGCTGAAGCTCTGCCCAAACATCTGTGGATGGAAAATCGCCATTACTACTGGAAAGACGGATGATGATTAAGTTCCAGATCTTGTGGAGAATTTTGATGAGGCTTCCAAGAATGAAGCAAACTGAATTGAGTCAACTTCTGAAGAAGATAAGGTTGAAGAAGTTTCTAGGAGCTGCTGTTTTATGACTGATTTTTCAAATTTTGTTTATGGATCTGATAAGATCTAGATATCTAATATTTTTTAGCCCAATGCCCCTGGACAGTGCAGCTCTTTTCACTTTTTGCTTAGACATAAATCATTCTTTGCAGCTTTGAAACAGGTTAATAAAGATCTTTGCCTAGTATAGTTTTATTTTTTATTTCATTGACACTAATTTGTATACAGCAAAGTTGTTTGTAGAAAGCTAATCATGGCATGTAATATGACAATCTGAAGAAATTTTATTAAAGATTTAACATGGTAAAATCATGTAAAAAAAAACAATTAGATGAAATAAATTCTTAGGATACAGCTATCATGACTGCATCATGTAGATCTATAACTAGTAAGGAAATTGAATCAGTAATTTAAAAATCTGATAAAAGCCCAGGACCTAATGGCTTTACTTGTGGATTCTACCAAACATTTAAAGATTTACCAATACTCAAACTTTACCAAAACAAAAAATTAAAGAGGTAACACTTCGTAACTCATTGTATGAGGCCACATAACCCTGATACCAAAGCCAGACAAAAAAGACATAAAAAGCTACAGGCCAATACATTTTATAAATATTGATGCCAAAATCCCCAACAAAATACTAAAAAACCGAATTCAGTAGCATATTAAAAGGATTACATACCAAGTAGGATTTAATCCTGGAATGAAGAATGGCCATCCCCATCCCCTATGGCCCCCACCACACTGTCGGCCCACAGCCCTTCTCCCCACCTGACCCCGCCCCTGATGGCCCTCCCTAACCCCAATAGGGGGTGAGGCTGGCCAGCTAACCTCCTGAATCCCCTCTCCCTGCCTGGCCCCACCCCAGATCAGCCCCCCACCACCCTGATCAGGGGCAGGGTGGCTGGCCAACCACCCATGGCCCTCCCCCAGGCCACCGACCCCTGGCACCCCCCAACACATTTGGGAGCAGAGCCTACTGGCCCACCACCCACAGCCCCTCCCCATGGCTGGCACCACCCCCAACCAGCTCCTCAACCCCATTTGGGGGTTGGGCCCGCAGGCCAATTGCCTGCAGCCCCTCCCCACTGCCAGCCTGGCCCTGATTGACCCCGACTGGGCAGGCTGGCCAGCCAACCTCCTGGCATCTCCTCCTCCAGACAGGCCCAGCCCCGATCCACCCTGATTGGGCCTGAGTCGGCCGGACCCCACCAGTGCATGAATTCGTGCACTGGGCCTCTAGAGTGTGTGTGTGTGTGTGTGTGTGTGTGTGTATTTAAAAGATAGCTGAATGTGACTCTAAAGTCTGTGTTTTCCCTGGCCCAGGGTGTTTGGGCAGAGGAGAACAATGAAGCTCAGACTGGGATGGCTGTGAAGACTCAGAGGTGAGGAAATGGGCTGCATTTCTTACTCTGTGTTGCCACCTGGGGCAGCATACAGCTCAGCACCATTCCCAGCAGGAATGCAGAGTTTGCCCGGCACCAACCACCACGACAGATCTGTTCAGTACCTCTCAGAGCTGGAAGTAGAGTTACCATCCATAGGTTCTGGCACTTACCACCCTTAAGCCCCAGTGTCCTACAGATCCTGAACCTGGATTTCTCTACCCTCAGCCCCTTCAGGCTGGGCCTAAGCAGAGCCTGGGTGCTGCCTTACAGAAGTTGAATAATTCAGGTCCTAGTGGCCTGAGGTATCCGTTTCAGTTTCTCTGTTCCCTTGTGCACAGGTGTAATTAAGCTAAAGAAAAGGGCCAAGAGGAGAGGCCTGCTGTCCTGTGCCTCTGAAGGATCAGGACTGATGGAGTCCCTGGCCCTGATGGAGAATGCACCAGGCTCATCCAGAGCCCAGGTACGGGGAATGGAAGCAGGAAGTCAAAGGGGCTAAAATAGAAGGAGAAAAGAAGAGAGTGGAAAGAGGGAGATCAGCGTAAGAGAGACGAAGGAAGAGTTACAGAAAAATAGACAGAAGGAAACAGGACAGGGTGGCTAAATGAGAGGTAGAGGGGGTAGGAGGGGCAGAGGCCAGGGCAGAGGCAGAGGCCAGAAGAGGCAAGGACCAGCAGAGAAGAAGTACTAAAATCCCAGGACAAGTACAAAAAAGGAGTCAGACAACCAGATGGGCTGCAGGGCTCCCCAGTTGGTAGCTGGGCCCAGCAAAGATCTTCCTCTGACTTCCAGGTATTGTCCACACCATCCTTGCTAGCAGGCCCTGATGCTGCCCTAGGTCGGGCCAGGAGGCTCACACCCAGAGACCTGCCCGGCAGGGCCATGGGGCCCAGGAGCCATTGCGCTGGCCTCTCCAGACTGGGTCTCCTGTTCCTGCTCCCACTCCTCCCAGGTATGAAGCTCCGTAAACCAGGCCTGACCTCTCTGGGTGCTGCTGCTGTTCTTGTCCTCCCCACACCTCTCTCTTTTCATTTCTCTCTTCAGTTACCTTTGCAGGAGAACAAGCTGTCTGGGGAGTGTGGGGAGGGGGTGCAGGGAAGGGTGAGAGGAGATTTGCCTGACTGGGGAGGGTGAAGTGAGAGGGGAGCTTTCCAGAGAGAGGAATGGAAAAGCCAGGGGCCCTTGAAGGCCAGGCTGAGTTGGGGCAGGCAATGAGGAGCCATTGAAGGGTTTTAAGCAGTTGGTAGCCTGGTCAGATCTGAGTGTTTAAAAGCTTGATCTCGCCTGGCAGGTGTGGTTCAGTTGGCTGAGCATCCTCCCATGTACCTAGATGTTGCCGGTTCATTTCCAGTCAGGGCACATGCCTGGTTTCAGGTTGATCCTCAGTGGAGGGCGGGGGGGGGGGGGGGGTTGTAGGAGGTAGCCAATCCATGTTTCTCTCATCAGTGTTTCCTTCTCTCTCTTTCTCTCTCTCCCTTCCACTATCTCTAAAATCAATTTTAAAAATAAAGTCTAGCCGGCATGACTCAGTGGTTGAGCTTCAACCTATGAACCAGGACGTCACAGTTTGTCTCAGTCAGGGCACATGTAGGATTGATCCCCAGTAGGGGGCGTGCAAGAGGCAGCCAATCAATGATTCTCTCATCACTGATGTTTCTATCTCTCCCTCCCTCTCTCTTCCTATCTGAAATCAATTTTTTAAAATATTGTTTAATATATTTTTAAAAAGCTTGCATGCTAAAATCCTCAACAAAATATTAGCAAATCACATTCAGCAAAATATTAAAAACATTATACATCAGACCAAGTGGGGTTTATTCTGGGGTTGCAAGCGGCACAATATCTGTAAATCAATAAACGTGACACATCAGGTAAACAAATTGAAAGACAAAAAAAGCTGCTCTCTCAGAAATGTGGAGGAGGATTAGAGAGGCTGAGCCGGAGAGCAGAGGGAACAGTGAGGATGTTGCTGCTGCTGGGGTCCATGAGAGGGAGGATGAGGCTGAAGAGGCTATTAAACATTCAAGAGATGTTCAGCCGTATGACTGAGAGGATTTGGGTATTGGTTGGTTTGCAGAGGGAACCGACAGGGGGAGGGAGAGTGATAATCCCTAGGTTTCTGGCTGAGGCCGCTGAGGGGGGAGGAGGGGGCATTTGCTGAGATGGGGAACATCAAAGGAGGAGCAGGTTTCAGAGCATGGGGGAAGGAGATGAGTTCCTGTTTTGGACCTACAGAGCTTAAGGTGCCTACAGGACATTCAAGAGTGGACTGTTTTATACAGTAGGTCCTCGAGTTCCGTCGGAGATCTGTTCCTAGAGTGCGACTTAAGGTGATGTTCTCCATAAGTCAGAACTCACCTACATAAGCATCTATGTCACTCCCATAGAGCGCATACACAGCAGTAATGAAGTGAAACAGTAAAAAAATAAATAAAATAAAATAAAAGGTAACAATTCCTGACCTTTACTTGTGGTAAATAAATAATAAAAATACATAAAGCACATATGTACATATGTCGAAACGATGGAACTTTTTTTAAAAATAAATAAATGGGAGACGACGATGTAACCACAAAACGACGTACATCGAGCCGGACGTAACCCGAGGACTGTCTGTATGTGCATCTGGAGCTCAGGAGACCGGAGAAAAGGAGAGGAGGGTCCACGACGGGATTCTGAGAAGCAGGGACTGAGCACAAAAGCCTAGGGGTGGGGTGTGTTTTTAGGCGGCCCTGGCCTACAGGGTCAGAAGCCTTGAAGAAACTTAACTGAAGTGCAGCAGGAGGAGTGGAGGCAGGTTTGAGAGCCTAAAGGGGGCTGGGCCATGGGGTTCAGATGCCTGGGTGAGAGCGGGCGCTTTTGTGGCCTACCTGGGCCCTTCCAGCATTTGTGGCAAGGCAGCCCGAATCCTCGGGAAGGGGAAGGCAGGGCAGAAACCCATCAGCCTTGCTTCAGGAAAGAGTATCAGTCCACTCCACCCACTTCACCTCATTCATCCCCCGAGGCAGGCCAGGGAAGAACAGAGAGTCACAGCCTGGGGACAGAGGGCAGCCATCAGGAGGACCAGTCAGACCATGTGAGAGTGGAGCAGGGGACAGCCCCAGCCTTGCGGAGGTGAAGGGTGTGAGCAGAGGCTTCTGCACGAGGGCAAACCTTCTCACTTCTCCCCCAGGATGCTTGGGAGCCGAGGGCAGGCTGGCCCACAAGCTCTTCCGTGACCTTTTTGCCAACTACACCAGTGCCCTGAGACCTGTGGCGGATACAGACCAGACTCTGAACGTGACCCTGGAGGTGACATTGTCCCAGATCATTGACATGGTACATCGTGGTTCTACAACTGCGGGATGTGCTGGTGACGGCGTCAAGGAATTTGGGGGTCGGGGGCTGGGATTATTCACCAAACAGTCCTTTTCTGTAAACATTAACAATAACAGCTACTAGCCGAGACTGGTTTGGCTCAATGGGTAGAGCATCGGCTTGGGGACTGAAGGGTCCCGGGTTCGATTCCGGTCAAGGGCATGTGCCTTGGTTGCGGGCATATCCCCGGTGGGGGGTGTGCAGGGGGCAGCTGATCGATGACTCTCTCTCTCATCGATGTTTCTAGCTCTCTGTCTCTCTCCCTTCCTCTCTGTACAAAATCAATAAAATATATTAAAAAAACAAAACAAAACAAAAAAACAATAACAGCTACTAACTTGGATACTGTTAGGTGCCCACAGTGTGCCCAAAACTTTGCACCCTTGAATCTTGCCCAGCAGGGGGTTTATCACCCATATAACTGCTAAGGAAGCTGAGGCCCAGAGAGGAACCTGTCAAGGTCACAACAAGGCGTGGGTGGGAACTGGACTGTACGTATGGGCAAGTTGGGTTTGTGGGTACTGACTAGAGCTCTGTAGGTGAGTTGCACACACAGGGAGGATATGCCATGTACACATGTCCACATCTGTGCCCACTTCCTGCCCAACTAGGATGAGCGCAACCAGGTGCTGACCCTATACCTGTGGATCCGACAGGAGTGGACAGATGCCTACTTACGATGGGACCCCGATGACTATGGCGGCCTGGATGCCATCCGCATCCCCAGCAGCCTCGTGTGGCGCCCCGACATCGTACTCTATAACAAGTACTGCCTGCCCGGCCCCGCCCCTCTCCTGGCCCTCCCTGGAGTTGCCCTTGCTTCTGGGAATGCACTTATTCTCATCCTCCCACCTAACTAGTTGCTATGCTGCCCTGGAAGTAGTCCCCCCAGGACCCTTCCAATCTGGCAGGAAGGTGTTGGCAGCGCTGGCTACATGGCACAGGGGGCTTCCTCACAGCCCCTCCGTGGCACCCCCACGAGGCTGTCCCAAGGCAGCCCAGGCTGAATGTCTTGCGGGAACCCACTGTGCGGTCCAGGCCAGTTCTGTGTCTCTGGCCGAGAGGGTTCTGGGGCACCCGTGCTCTTCATGGCACAGTCCCCCCTTCCAGGCTGGCTCTGAGTCTCAGGGCTCCCCAGAGGCCTGCCTAGGGCCCTCTGGGACATCCCCCTATGCTGCCTAAGCCCATTCTGTTTAAAAAAAAAAATTAAATTTTTTTTAATTGATTTCAGAGAGGAAGGAAAAGGGAAAGAGAGAGAACCTTCAACGATGAGAGAGAACCATTGATGAGCTGCTTCCCTCATGCCCCACAGAGATGGAGCCCACAGCCCTGGGCAGGAATAGAGCAGTGCCCTCTCAGTTCATAGGTCAATGCTCAACCCTTAACCCTTGAGCACCCTGGTGGCCCGGCCAGTTCTGTTTTCCAGACAACACAGGGCTCTGCCTATTTCCCCAGGAGCCCCTCCACCATCTTGGCAATTGGCACCCAAGAAAGGGCACCGTGCCACCGCGTGCCAACTTTTGTAGAGGCCTTTCCATGCCGCCCTGGGCTCGATCAGGATCCTTCCTGGGCCCTCAGGCGCTGCCCTTTCCAGGCCTCCGAAGGCCACGAGGGCCCTCCCCGGGGCACAGTCTGTCCTCCCTAAAGGGGCGCTGTGTCCTGGGGTGGCCGGGGCGCTGCCTCAGGGACCCCCCTCCCCGCCCCCCGCCTCCCGCAGGGCAGACGCGCAGCCCCCGGCCTCGGCCAGCACCAACGTGGTGCTGCGGCACGACGGCTCCGTGCGCTGGGACGCGCCGGCCATCACGCGCAGCTCGTGCCGCGTGGACGTGTCGGCCTTCCCGTTCGACGCGCAGCGCTGCGGCCTGACCTTCGGCTCCTGGACGCACGGCGGCCACCAGCTGGACGTGCGGCCGCGCGGCGCCGGCGCGGGCCTGGCGGACTTCGTGGAGAACGTGGAGTGGCGCGTGCTGGGCATGCCGGCGCGGCGCCGCGTGCTCACGTACGGCTGCTGCTCCGAGCCGTACCCCGACGTGACGTTCACGCTGCTGCTGCGCCGCCGCGCCGCCGCCTACGTGTGCAACCTGCTGCTGCCCTGCGTGCTCATCTCGCTGCTCGCGCCGCTCGCCTTCCACCTGCCCGCCGACTCGGGCGAGAAGGTGTCGCTGGGCGTCACGGTGCTGCTGGCGCTCACGGTCTTCCAGCTGATCCTGGCCGAGAGCATGCCGCCGGCCGAGAGCGTGCCGCTCATGGGTGAGCGAGGGAGTGCGTGAGGGTGTGTGTGTGTGTGTGTTGTGTGAGGGTGTGTGTGAGGGTGTGTGTGAGGGGGTGTGTGTGTGTGTGAGGGTGTGTGAGTGTGTGTGTGTGTGTGTGTGTGTGTGTGAGGGTGTGTGTGTGTGAGAGAGGGTGTGTGAGTGTGTGTGTGTGTGAGAGAGGGTGTGTGTGAGTGTGAGAGTGTGTGTGTGTGAGAGAGGGTGTGTGAGTGTGTGTGTATGAGAGAGGGTGTGTGTGTGTGTGTGTGTGTGTGTGTGAGGGTGTGTGTGAGTGTGTGTGTGTGTGTGTGTGTGTGTGAGAGAGAGGGTGTGTGTGTGTGAGGGTGTGTGTGTGTGTGAGAGGGTGTGTGTGTGTGTGTGTGTGTGTGAGGGTGTGTGTGTGTGTGAGGGTGTGTGTGTGTGTGTGTGTGTGTGAGTGAGGGTGTGTGTGAGTGTGTATGAGGGTGTGTGTGTGTGAGTGTGAGTGTGTGAGTGTGTGTGTGTGTGTGTGTGAGTGAGTGTGTGTGTGAGTGTGTGAGTGTGTGTGTGTGTGTGTGTGTGAGGGGGTGTGTGTGTGTGAGTGTGTGTGTGTGTGTGAGTGTGTGTGTGTGTGTGAGTGTGTGTGTGTGTGTGAGTGTGTGTGTGCGCGTGTGTGTGTGTGTGAGTGTGTGTGTGTGTGAGGGTGTGTGTGTGTGTGAGGGTGTGTGTGTGTGAGTGTGTGTGTGTGTGTGGTGTGTGTGTGAGGGTGTGTGTGTGTGTGAGGGGGGTGTGTGTGTGGTGTGGTGTGTGTGTGTGAGGTGTGTGTGTGTGTGTGAGGGTGTGTGTGTGTGGGGGGGGTGCGGCCAGGGGTGGGGGTGCGGGGAAGAGCCGTCCCCTCCTAGGGAATTCCCCCCCAGCCCCCCTCCCCCCCGCCGCCCCCCACTCCCCCCCACCCGCTGAGGCGTGGGCGTCCCACCCGTGCGGGGACGGGCCTGGTCGCCACAGTGGCCGGCTGCAGTGTGTGAGGGCGTCGTCCTGGGAGCCTGCTTCTTCCCGAGACGGAGGGGCAGGGGGTGCGCCCCTTCCAGGGAGGACACCGTCCCTGACGGGAAGGGGCCGAGGAAAGAGAGTCTTTCCTCAAGGACTGGCCGGAGGGAGGTCTCTGCCCCCGGGGTCCGATTAGAGGCAGAATGCACCGGGTGTTCGCATTGCTGAGCACTCCTAAGCCTGTGATGTCAGTGACCTCGGGGAAGCGCCTCCACAGACAGACAGGCAGGTGCTGTTGTGTGCCCCCCTGTACGGAAAGGACCCTCCTGGCCCCCTGTCCTGGCACACCACGGGAGAGATGACTTGTGGGTAAACGTGGCCTCCGGCAGTGTGTGTGTGTGTGTGTGTGTGTGTGGGAGGGGGGGAAGGGGGAGAGATTATTGACCACTTAGCTTCTGAGGAACCATGGTGGGAGTGTGGTCCGCTGAGACTTTGGCCCTTACCTCCTTCCTCTTCCTCCTTCCTTCCTTCCTTCCTTCCCTTCCTTCCTTCCTTCCTTCCTTCCTTCCTTTCAATTATAGGCAATACTTCTTTTTATTTATTTATTTTTAAAAATATATTTTATTGATTTTTTTACAGCCAGGAAGGGAGAGAGATAGAGAGCTAGAAACATCGATGAGAGAGAAACATCAAGCAGCTGCCTCCTGCACCCCCCACTAGGGATGTGCCCGCAACCAAGGTACATGCCCTTGACCAGAATCCAATGTGGGACCTTTCAGTCCACAGGCTGATGCTCTATCCACTGAGCCAAACCTGTTTCGACAACCTCCTTCCTTTTTCATCCATTGGGCTTGGAGGGTCCCGACAGCCTCAGGGTGGGTTCCTGTTTGGGCTGTGGTGACTGGGAAGCTCAGGCCCCCTGAGTTCTTCTTCTGGGCCCCGGCTCGCTCTGTCTTTTGCAGGGAAGTACTACATGGCCACCATGACCATGATCACCTTCTCCACGGCGCTCACTATCCTTATCATGAACTTGCATTACTGTGGTCCCAGTGCCCGCCCAGTGCCGGCCTGGGCGCGGGCTTTCCTACTGGGATACCTGGCACGGGGCCTGTGCGTGCGAGAACGAGGGGAGCCCTGTGGGCAGCCTAGACAGCCCGAGTCGCCCCCCAGCCCCCAGCCTCCAGAGAGAGGGGCCGGCCCCCCAGCAGGCCCTTGCCGTGAGCCCCGGTGTCTGTGCCATCAGGAAGAGCTGCTGCGCCATGTAGCCACCATTGCTCACACCTTCCGCAGCCACCGGGCTGCCCAGCGCCGCCACGAGGACTGGAAACGCCTGGCCCGTGTGATGGATCGCTTCTTCCTGGGCATCTTCTTCTCCATGGCCCTGGTCATGAGCCTCCTGGTGCTCGTGCAGGCGCTGTGAATCCGGGGTCCGCTGCGGCCGCAGAAGTGACACAGGATGGGAAGACCAGGTGGTTGCTGGCCCTCACATAGGCCACCCAGTCTCTCCCCTCTACACCCTGGAACCCCGGACACCCTCTCTCAGGGTCAGCAGTGCTGACTTCACAAACCACGAGGGAGCACTGGACTGTGTATCCTGTTTTCTTAAGAAAAATCTAGAGCTTGCCACTGCCTTAACTCCTATGGGGGGAAGGACTCTAAGAAGGTTGAAGGTCAAAGTGCAGTCCTAGAGGGACAGAATTGAACTTCATTAATGAATGTTAGAGTTTTCAGTGGGGAGAGGACACGTTATATGAGAAACAGAACTGCAGCATTGCCTGCCTTCTCTTCTTTCCTCAGTGGCTGCTGTTATAGGAGCTTGTCCCTGCCTAGGGGCTCAGGGAAGGGGTTTGGGGTTTCAGACTGATGATCTAGTTTCCAGAGCAGGAGGCCACACAAGGATGTGGCCCCAAAGCTCCAATTCATCAGAAAGAGAGTGTGTGCCTGGCACCTCCTCGATGTCCTGTCTTAACCTTGGGTCCCGTGATGGTGGGAGATGGGGATCCAGGTTTGTTTCTCTAGAAACAGGAGCCTTAGGACTCCTGGGATTGAACAGGAATTATTACGTCTTTGCTGACAAGAAAATGACGGATTTGACCGAGACCCGGCAGAGGGCCTAAAGCAAGCCCTCCGTTGTCTTTCCTGCTCTCCTCTCTCTGGGTTCCTTCTGTCCACCGCATTCGCCCACCCTGACGTCCAGAGGACTTGACGGTATCCAGGGGAGGGCAATGCAGGGACCAGCTGTTCACAGGTATTTGTTCCTTTCTGACTTTCACATGCTTCCCGGCACCCACCTCTTCGCCTCAGCCCCAGTTCCTGACCTCAGGAAGCTCACAGTCCGTCACGGGCAACAGACATGGACATGAGGTGTAGAGAAGCTCCCAGGACCTGGGGGAGCACAGAGGCAGCACCCTAACCCACAGGGTCAGAGCGCTCAGAGAAAGCTCCCTGGAGGAGTGAGGAGGACCTTCCCAGGTGTCCGTGGGAGGCATGTGAGTGACACCAGCAAGTCCCATGGCCACGTGCTTTCCTCCCAGCACCTCCACACCGAGTTTAATCTTCTTCCTCCTCCGAGTGAGTTGTTGCCTGTCCTGGAGTCCCCCTACCTCTCTTCAATGTGTCACTCCTAGAGCACTGGGTAAAGTTCAGGCCCAAAATTCTCTCTCTCTACCATCGGGCCTGGCAGCTGCCAGAGAAGGTCCCACAGTTCCCTGCAGGTGGTGTATCTGCGGATCTTGACCACACTTAAGAGTAAAGCACACATGTGGCTGACGTCCTCGTGTTGGGCAGAGGTGGCCGGCAGGGCTGTTCAGGGTCTGATGAGTTAGAGGAGGCCTGGATACTCTGGAAAGACTCCCCCGACAAGGAACCAGAGTAGCAGTGGAAGGAACCAGACTGTAGACAGAGAGCCCTGTCCCATGGCTGCAGGGAAACAGAATAAGAAAGAGATATTTAGGGGTGAAGCGAGTTACACAGAGAAACAAGACAAAAACCAAGCAGGGTGAGCTGGAAACACTGATGCATACAGTGCGGTGGGAGACAGAGATGAAGAGCAAGAATTTAGAGAGGTTGAGAGATGATATTTGCAAACAACAGCTTTGACAAGGAGTTCTTATCCAAAATATATAAAGAACTCCTACAACTCAACACCAAGCAAACAAACAATCTAATTTAAAGCAGGCAGATGACCTGAGCAGATACCTCTCTCAAGAAGACCTACAAACCACCAACAGGTGTATGAAAAGGTGGTCAACTTCAGTAGCTGTTAGGAAATTAAAACTACAACGAAATGCCACCTCACACTGTTAGAACGGCTATTGTCAATAAGACAAGGAATAAGTGTTGGAGAGGTTGTGGAGAGAAGGAAGCCTCATTTACTGTTGGTGTGAATGTAAACGGGTGTGGCCACTATGGAAAATAGTATGGAGGCGCCTCAAAAAACTTAGGAATAGAGTTACCACATGACCCAGCAACCCATTTTTTGGTATTTACCTGAAAATTTTGAAAACACTTATTCACAAAGATATAGGCACCTTTATCTTCACTGCAGCATTATTCACAGTGGCCAAGACATGGAAACAAAATGTCCTTTGATAGATATTGGATAAAGTGGATGTGGAGTATATATACAATGGAATACATAAGAAAAAATGAAATACTGCCATTTGCAACAATGTGGATAGACCTTGAGAATTATTATGTTGAGCAAATAAGTCAGCCAGAAAAAGTGAAGAACCATATGGGGGTTGAGGGGGAGACTAGCTGATTTGGCTCATGGGATAGAGTGTTGGCCTGGGGACAGAAAGGTCCCAGGTTCCATTCCAGTCAAGGGCACATGCCCAGGTTGTGGGCTCAATCCCCAGTAGGGGGTGTGCAAGAGGCAGAATGATTCTCATCATTGATGTTTCTATCTTTCCCTCTCCCATTCTGAATTCAATAAAAATATATATTTTTGAAAAACATATGGGAGGGTGGGAGTGCGGTGGAAGGGGTCAGTGGGAGGAAAAAGAATGACATCTGTAATATTTTCAACAGTAAAGATAAATTTTTAAAAAACCATGATTTCACTCATATGTGGGATATAAAACTGAAAGTAAATGAACAAACAAAAACTCCTCTACACAGACAACAGTACAGTGGTTACCAGAGGGAAGGGAGTGGGGTTAGTACAGGGTACAAGGGTCAAATGTGTGGTGATGAGAGGAGATTTGACTTTGGGTGGTGGGCAGGCAGTGCAATATGCAGATCATGTATCAGAGAAATGTACACTTGAAACCTACATCTATCTCATTAACCAATGTCACCCCAACAAATTTAATTTAAAAAAATTTAAGGAAGAAGGCAAACAGAGATGAAGAGACTAGGACATTCCGGGGGTTATTAGGTCTATCCGCCTGCCTCTTATGGAGGCACTGGAGGCACCACAGGGTGGGATGAAACAGGGTAGAGATCTGAATGGGAACTAGTGAAGCTGACCTTGGCTTCTCTGCACAAACCATGGTAGGAGACTGCTGGTGGGCAGAGGAGGGAGAGATCTTAAACTTTTCCAGTGCATGAAATTTCATTATGAAAACTCAGAGAAGCGCCTGAATAGCGTTGCTCAAAAGTTGAACTTTGACCTACGAACTAGGAGGTCTCAGTTGGATTTCCGGTCAGGGCACATGCCCAGGGTGTGGGCTTGATCCCCAGTGCGGGGCATGCAATAGGCAGCCAATTAATGATTCTTATTGATATTTCTATCTCTCTCTCCCTCTCCATTCTTCTCTGATATTATATATATATATATATATATATAACAAACAAATAAAAAAAACAACCTCAAAGAAGCAGGTTGGAGGCTGGAGACCTGGCTTCTGGCCTGCCTCTGACACTAACTCATTCTGTCACCTTGGGAGAGTCACTTCCATCTCTGGGTCTTACTTCTCTGTATAATGAGGACAATAATACTCCCTGTTCTGCCTCCTTCCAGTCTGTTACTGTGCAGTGAAGGGTAAAATGAAATGGCCTGGGGAGGAGGGGCCAGCCTGGAATGGTGCTTCAGAGTTTGGCTCCAGGGTCAGACTGTCTGAACCTCACCCCTTACCAGCTGTGTGGTAGGGTGCTGGTTGCTTCACTTCTCTGTGCCCTCGTCCCCTCATTTGTAGAACAGGGGTGATGGCAGTACCCACAGCTGGCTCTGGGTGTGGCTTCATGGCCTGGTGTGCCTGGAGCTCTGAGTGGTGCTATGTCCTGGTGAGGACACAGTGGGGCTGGGGCTCCTTTGTGTCCACTGTTCGCAGAGCCCAGCGGAGGGAGGAGAGGCCCCCGAGGAGGGCGGCCGTGGTTTCTTCCCTGGGAAGGGCCTGCTCCAGAAGCTTCCCTTGGAAAAGCCCGTTCCCACCTGGAGCAGCGGCAGCCCAGATGGGCCCGGGCACAGCAGGCATCGAAGGGAAGGGAAGTCATGGCTGGAAGTGACCTGGGAGTCATCGAGTCCAGCTGGGCTTTTATACAAATAGGGAAACTGAGGCCGGAGAGGGAATGATTGGTCACAAAGAGAGCCAGTGCAGGGCCTGGACGGTGGCCCAGGTCTCTCATGCCGGCCTCCTGCTTGGAGGGTGGTCTGAGGGAGTGCTGAGGGCAGTAACAGGGACGGAGGGTTCCCCAGGCCAGGGAGGAGAAGGCCTGGGAGGACTGTGTGAGATCAGCCCTCTCTCCATCACCTCTGTGCAAAGAGGACCTCTCTGGGGCCTGGTCAGCTGTCTCCTGTGAGGGAGGGGGGCCCACAGAGGGGGCAGGTGTGTCAGCTCTCCCAACCACTGCCCCTTACCGCCTCTGGGAGAGCTTAGCTATCCCCACAGGTGTCTGCTGTAAGGTTTTGTTTGTTTGTTTTTTTGTTTTAATTAGAAGAGGGTGGTTTTTCTTATAAAGGAGCCATCCAGGGCAGCCTGCTCACCCCCCATTGGAGCCCCTGTCCCACAGGCCTTCAATCCTACCTGAGTTTTCCAGATGGCAGGACGTAGAGTTGCATTGCATGGCTGTAGAGAAGAAACGGAAAATCAGACTTAATAGTTCTAAGGATGGGAAGTGGCCCTGTGGGCCATCCCTGACTTGCTCTAGGAAAGCTGGTACTTTTCCCTCAAATTCTGCTTCCTTCTGGTGAGACCCATCTTGCTGAGGTTTGACTTGATTTGTGAGCAGTGGGGCCGGAAGCGAGCCAGCCCTCAGAAACCAGGGTCTGCTCTACGTTCTCCTGCTTCTCCCTATCTCCCTGCCACAGCCTCCTCTGCCTCTCCGAGCCCATCCTAGCCAAGCTCAGGCTAGCTTATGTTCTGTGCATGTCTTCCTCACCTCTGGCAACTCATGCACTCTTGTCCGAGGTGGGAACTGAAGCCACACAGGACATTTTCCCACAGTAGCCGTAGTCCCCGTTGCCAGCCCCTGGGCATTGCTCCACCGGGACCAGCAGGCCACAGTAGCTCACAGTTAGAGACCGGAGCCCATCCTCATGATTTCTCCTGTGGCTTGTCCCAGGGGGATGGACAAGAAGAGCATCTGAGGCCTGCCACAGCCTGCACTGGACCTTTGGGACACAGCACCCACATGCGGCCCACCCAGCACACACGACAGCTCGGGATTTCTGTTCAAATAAACACTCTCCTCTTGGAAACTGAGGTCGGGGCTCTTGTCGATTCTGGCAACAATGATCTGTGTGTCAGTAGCTAGAAACTAATTCCCTTCTGGCTTCCAGCCGGGAGAAAGCCTGACCAGGGCTGTTCGGCCCTCCAATGGCCAAAGACCCCTGCCTTGGTCAGAAAACCCTCTTAAGCCTTCCAGCAGGCAGGTGACCAGCTCCGGTTCAGACACCACCAGGGACAGGAATTCTCCAGGCTCAGAAGGTTCTGTCTCCCCTTAGATGGAGGGATGGAGGTGGGAGGGAGGGATGTGCAGGACATTCTGTGCCCCTCTCATGGCTGGTTGGTTTTTGTTTTTTCTGTATGCATTCCCTGAAAGCGGGCCGGGAGCTCCCCTGCTGCACAGGTGCTCCCACACAGGCCCCTCTCACCTTTGATGTACTCGCAGTTGTACCCGCTGTGCTTGCCCAGGGCCCGGAGGTAGATGCGGGTGGGGCCCTGGGCAGGTCGGCTGCTGTTGATCACCTGGAAGGTCTCAAAGGGGGGGATCAGCACCTCCTCCTCCCCGGGGAAGAAGGAGTAGTTCCAGATAGGGACACCAAGGCAGGTCCAGATGCCAAAGAAGGTGTCCTTCCCAAAACCCTGCGCTGTGGCCTTATTCAGGGACGCCGAGGAAAAGCTCCCCAGCCGGACGGTGGCCCCAGGTCCCGTTGGCTGGAAGCGCAGGCCTTGTACCCCTCGGAACACCTGGCGGCACTGGGGAGGACGCTGGGCCTTGCTCAGCAGCTGTAGGGCCTCGGTCAGCAGGAAATGGAAGGTCTTGTAGGAGAAGTGTTGGAGGTAGTGGTCTCGGTTACAGCCTGCCTCCCTCAGGGCCGCGTTGAACTCCTTGTGCAGGGGGGTGTTGGCCGTGTAGGCCAGGAGGGCCACCCCGTGCTCATCACGGAAGCCGGGGGGTGGTGGGGACATCGCGGGGTGAGGCTGAGACCCCACTCTGGCCCCCAGGCTTTGCGGTCCTGCCATTTTCTGCTGGCCTTCACCCAGCTTTTAGCATACACTTCGTTGGTCTGGAACTCGGTGCGGTTGAGATCTGGGAGAGCAGCTGTCATGGCTGCTGCACAGCCAACATACTGGTCGTCAAAGGAGGTTGGGGCCATGTCCAGGGGCCTTTCTTCAGACAAGAGTCCTCGTCGTGTGATGGGGTGGCTCTGGGGTGGGAGAGGGAGAAGCAAGGACTGAGAGGTCAGGCCCTAGGAGTATGGGAGCCTATCCAGCTTTCCCCTCCACTGAGCTGAGAAAGACAGTATAAGGGCCCCAAACACACCTGGAGGGGAAGGGGGATGGGACCTGCTAACTGCCAATTCCCCGAGGCTGAGAACTGGGGCTGTCCCCTGGGGCTGAGGGAGTCCCGGGGGAAGCATCAGGCATCCTCTCCTCCCTCTGCTCCTCCTTCCAGAGCTCAGAAGCAGCTGATGCTCAGCTTCCTGCTGGCATGGGGACAGCAGGGGACGGCCATACCTGAAGTGCTCCCACGAGGCCCATGAGCACAAGCAGCAGAGGCATCATAGCAGGAGCCTGCATGTTGGACGTGGCCTTGGGTACGTCACTGTCTCTTTTGGGGTCTCAGCTTCCTCATCTGGAAAATGGGGATGTTAACCTATACAGTTTAATAAACATTCATTGACATCTGGCACTGAGTCACAACATGGAAATGGAGGCTCGGGAGAGAGAAGGAGGACCCTTCTTGCTGGAAGCAACATGAGACTTCCTGGAAGTGGTGACATGTGAACAGGGACTTGCAGGATGAATAGGAGAATAAGGCCTCAATCAGTGGAGACAAGGAGAGAGGAGAGTTTGGAGTTTGGGGTGGGAAAAGAGTTTGAAGGAGCAGGAATGAGAAGAGCAAAGGTATTGGAGTAGGAACTCTCAGGATGTAAAGAGTAAGAGGCATTTTGTCTAGTGTGGTTGAACTTGCAGTGTGAGAATGTCAAAAAGATTTGGGCTACCCAGCTGGTGTGGCTTGACCCAGTAACCAAGAGGTCACCGGTTTGATTCCTGGTCAGGGTATATGGCAGGTTGTGGGCTCCATCCCCAGTATGGGGTGTGCAGGAGGCAGCTAATCGATGATGTTCCTTTCTCATTGATGTTTCTCTCTCTCTCTCTCTCTCTCTCTCTCTCTCTCTCTCTCTCTCTCTCTCTCCCTCTCTCTCTCTCAATAAAAACATATTTTAAAAAAAGGTTTGGGCCATCATGACGGAGCTTGACTGCCATGGTGAGAAGCCGTGGCTGGAACAGGGCAGAACAGGGGAATGGTCAGCAGCGGGGCTACAGCAGGACTCCAGAGACAGCTTAAAGCAGGGCTCAGGATCCAGGGGCCTCCCCCGCGCCCTCCAGGTGGGCTGAGAGCTGAGCCTTCATTCCCTGAGTCCTCAATTGCTTCTGGGGCCCGGGCAGATGCAGATCCCCAGGCGGTGAGGAAAGAGGGACTCTGTGAGGGGGAGAGGACAGAGGCTGCCTGCTTCCCCAAGGACAGCTGGGGAGAACCACAGCCTCCCACACCCTGTGGGTGGGCACACTGGGAGTCCCAAGTAGCACCAAGAAGAAGACATCACAGCGTGGGGTCAGAATTGGAACAGTTTCTAAGCCAGTGCTGCTGCTGCTTTTCTGTTTGTTTTATTATAAAGTAATGCATGCTTGTGAAAAAAAAAAATGCACGTGTGAAACACAAAATCCAAGTTCCCTTTCTTCCTTCTTCCCTCAGCTTTCTTCTTCTCACTCTTACCCATGCCTGCTAGCAGGGAGGGGGTGACCTGTGATAAATACCTTTCAGGACCTTTCTCTATGCACATAAAAATAAATTTTAAATATATGTACATAGCTTTTTAAAAATATATATTTTATTGATTTTTTTTACAGAGAGGAAGGGAGAGGGAGAGAGAATTAAAAATATGGATGAGAGAGAAACATTGATCAGCTGCCTCCTGCACACCCACTCCTGGGGATGTGCCCGCAACCAAGGTACATGCCCTTGACTGGAATTGAACCTGGGACCCTTCAGTCCACAGGCTGATGCTCTATCCACTGAGCCAGACCAGTTAGGACTGTACATAGCTTTACACATACATTTAATGTATTTAAATACATAAACATAGTTTTCTATATACAATCTGTTTCTGCTTTTTGTCATTTTTTTTTAATAAAAAGGGAAGCCCTACCAGTGTGGCTCAATGGTTGAGCATTGACCTATGGACCAGGGGGTGGAGATTGTGGGCTCAATCCCCAGTGGTGGTGGGGGGGCCGTGCAGAAGGCAGCCATGATTCTCTCTCATCACTGATGTTTCTATCTCTCTCTCCCTCTCCCTTCCTCTCTGAAGTCAATAAAATTTTATTTTAAAAAAAGAAAATCCTATATAATGAAAGGCTAATATCCAAATGAACTGGTCACTAATGCTGTGCACTGACAGCCAGGGTGCAGATGCTCACTGTAGGAGCTGCCCCCTGGTGGTCAGTGCACTCCCACAGGGGGCGCGCTGCTCAGCCAGAAGCCTGGCTCATGGCTGGTGAGCACAGTGGTGGTGGCGGGAGCATCTCCTGCCTCCACCCCAGCAGTCAGACATCCCCTGAGAGCTCCCAGACTGCGAGAGGGTGCAGGCCCGGCTGAGGGACATCCTACCACCTCCGAGGGCACAAATTTCGTGCACCGGGCCTCTAGTAGAAAATAAAAAGGGAACATGCTTACATATACAGAGTCTGTAACCTTATAATATATCATGGACTTCTTCCATGTCACACATATAATCTACCTTGTCTATTATAATGGAGGCATGGCATTCCCTAGTATAGTTAAACCATAATTTAAGCATTTCCTTATTAATGGAAACAAGTTTATTTTCTAATTTTTTCTCCTATCTAATAAAACAGTAATATGCAAAATGACCATACCTCTGCTACACCCACAAGCCACATCCATCAGCCAGTCAGGAGCAAGTATGCAAATTAACCCAACCAAGATGGATGCAGCCAGAGAGCGAGCAGGAAGCTTGGGTTTCCCTGGTGATGGAGGAAGCCAAGTTCCTGGCCTGCCCTGGCCTCCACTCAAGGCTGCAACATTTCAATTGTAGAAGATCAATAAATCCCAACAAAAATGGCTGTAGCCATAGAGAGAGCAGGATGTTTGGGTTTCCCCGGCGATGGAGGAAACCAAGTTTATGGCTTGCCATGGCCTCCACTAAAGGCTACAAAGTTCAATTATAGAAGATAAATAAATCCCAGATACCAGGGCCTCCGCTTGGATCCCCGGGAGGGGGGGGGGGTTGTGTGTGTGGCCAGCCTGCAAACCACCACAGGCCCCTTGCCCAGGCCACCCCACACCCCAAAGGAACCCCCACCCTGATCCAGGACACTCTTCAGGGCAAACCAGCTGGCCCTCACCCGTGCACCAGACCTCTATCCTATCTAATAAATAAAAGAGTAATATCTATCCTATCTAAGAAATAAAAGAGAAATATGTAAATTGACTGTCACTCCAACACACACAAGATGTCTGCCTCCTTGTGGACACAAGATGGCCACCACAAGCCAAAACTGGTTTAGCTCAGTGGATAGAGCGTTGGCCTGTGGACTGAAGGGTCCCAGTTTCGATTCCGGTTAGGGGCATGTACCTTGGTTGTGGGCACATCCCCAGGAGTGGGTGTGCAGGAGGAAGCTGATCAATGTTTCTCTCTCATCAATGTTTCGATTCCAGTTAGGGGCATGTACCTTGGTTGTAGGCACATCCCCAGGAGTGCGTGTGCAAAAGGCAGCTGATCAATGTTTCTCTCTCATCAATGTTTCTAACTATCTCTCTCCCTTCCTCTCTGTAAAAAAAATCAATAAAATATATTTAAAAGAAAAAAAAAACACACAAGAAAAAAGATGGCTATCACAAGATGGCCAGCAGGGGGAGGGCAGTTGGGAGGGATCAGGCCAGGAGGGGAGGGCAGTTGGGGGCAACTGGACCTTCAGGGAAGGACAGTTGGAGGGGGCCCAGGCCTGCAGGGGAGAGCAGTTGGGGGGAGAGGGGGTGACCAGGCAGGGGAGGGCAATTCGGGGCAATCAGGCTGGCAAGGGATGAGTTAGGCATCAATCAGGCTGACAGGGGAGTGTTTAGGGGGTGATCAGGCTGGCGGGAAGAAGTGGTTAGAGGCAGTCAGGAAGGCAGGCAGGCGAGCCATCAGTCCTGGATTGTGAGAGGGTGCTCGTTTAGGCTCATTTAGGATCGGGCCTAAATGAGCAGTTGGACATCCCTCGAGGAATCCCAGATTGGAGAGGGTGCAGGCTAGGCTAAGGGACACTCTCCCCACCCCCTCCGTTCCCCCCCCCCCCTGCCATGCATGAATTTCCAGCACAGGGCCTCTAATATTAACATAATATTGCATGAACATCCATATAAATATTTGTCTACTTGTGTACATACTTTTATAGTAAAGATATCAAGAAGATGATACTTAAAAGATATGAATATTGTTTTATTTTGATAGGCACTGCCAGACTGGCATTCAAAAGGTACCAGTTTGCCCTCCCACCAACAATGAATAAGAGTGTCCTTTTCTCTACATCTTTGCCAACACTGGATATTATTTTTTAAACATTTTTATTGATTTCAAAGAGGAAGGAAAAGGGAGATTGAAACATTAAAAAAAAGAAGCATCAGTGATCAATGATGAGAGAAAATCATTGATTGGCTGCCTCCTGTACACCCCCTACTTGGGATTGAGCCTGCAGTCCGGGCATGTGCCCTTGGTCGGAATCAAACCTGGGACCCTTCAGTCCTCAGGCTGATGCCCCATCCACTGAGCCAAACTATCTAGGGCAACACTGGATATTATTAATATCTCTTTAAGTTTCACTTAACTGGTGGGAATAAATGGTATCTGCTTTTTAATATCTCTTCTGACTAATAGGATCATCAGAGCTTAATTTTTAATTTTAAAGTTTTTACTTACTTTTCTAAAGTGTAGTACATTTTTATTGTTCAAAATTTCAATAGTCCAAAGGCACACAGTGAAATGTGTTTTTCTCACTAATTCCCCAATTCCAACCTCATCTCCCAGAGGCAGCCAATGTGACTGTTTTTTTGTGTGTGTAGCCTTCCAGAAGTATTCTATGTGCACATAAGCAAATCCACAGGCATTTCTGCTTTCCTTCTTTTGCACAAATGATAATGCAGTGGTTCTTTATCTTTGAGAATCTGATGAAAGCTAAGACCTCTCCTCAGAAATGAATACCTGCGCCTTCACACGAATATTTCACAAATTGCCTGGCCAGTGTGTGTCAGTGGTTGAGCATCAACCCATGAACCAGGAGGTCACAGTTCGATTCCCAGTCAGGGCATATACCCAGGTTGGGGGTTCGATACCCCAGTGGGGAGGGGGCAGTGTGCAGGAGGCAGCGGATTCTCTCTCATCATTGATGATTCTATCTCTTTCTCCCTCTTCCTTCCTCTCTAAAATCAATACAAATATATATTTTAAAAAATACAAAATGTTTCACAGATTTCAGGTGGTTATGCCTCTGCCCCAGTGTCACTCAGGTTAAGCATCCCTGCTCCATCTTCCCCTCTGGCTCTTGGTGGGGCCTAAGTTTTGACAGTTCATTGACTCTAAGACACTGGGATTCTATGTGTTTATAATGTTACTAGAAGCACGGTGCCTGAAAATTCATGCACTGGAGAGGGGTCTCTCAGCCTGGGAGCCCTCAGGGGCGGGAGGCAGCCAGGCAATCAGGGGAAGGTGATGCCCCATCACACCTCTGCTGCTGCCACTGCCGGCAGCTCAAGCCTCAGCTGGTCCTAGTTACCTGAGCCTTGGGCATCCCTGGGCGGCTGGGAGACTGAGTGGACTGGGCGCCACCATCTTGTGGCTGTGGGCTTCACCGTCTTTAAGGGTGGGATGGTCAATTAGCGTATTTCCTTCTTATTGGTTGTGGGTACCACCATCTTTGTGATATGATGGTCAATTAGCATATTCCCTCTTTATTACAATAGATAGGATGAATCTCCAATTGTACATATTGCCAATGTACAATTTAAATTGAGGCCTGAGCTTCTCTGGGCAGTGGAGTTAGTAGCAAAATTTATCAAGTTCAACATGTCCCAAGGTGAATCCATTATCTTCTCTCCCTCAACAAAAAAATTTTGAACATCTGTAATGTATCAGGCACTGAGGATAAAATTATGAACAGTAGCCCTGGCTGGGTGGCTTAGTTGGTCAGAGTGTCGTCCGTACACCAAAAAGGTTGTGGGTTTGATTCCCAACCAGAGCACATATCTAAGTTATAGGTTAGATCCCTGGTAGGGGCCATGTATGGGAAGCAACCAACTGATGTTCTCTCTTCTCTCCTCTCCTCTCCTCTCCTCTCCTCTCCTCTCCTCTCCTCTCCTCTCCTCTCCTCTCCTCTCCTCTCCTCTCCCCTCCCCTCCCCTCCCCTCCCCTCCCCTCCCCTCCCCTCCCCTCCCCTCCCCTCCCCTCCCCTCCCCTCCCCTCCCCTCCCCTCCCCTCCCCTCCCCTCCCCTCCCCTCCCCTCCCCTTCTCTTCTCTCTCTCTCTCTCTCTCTCTCTCTCTCTCTCTCTCTCTCTCTCTCTCTCTCTCTCTCTTCCTCTCTCTCTCTCTCTTTTCCTCTCTCAATAAAATCAATAAACATATCCTCAGGTGAGGATAAAACAGTTATGAACAACAAAACCCACACCCTTGCTTCTTTAAGTTCTTTTGAAGTAGAAATGGAGCTGGAGTAATTTCAAGTCGCATGTGATGCATGCTACAGAAGGAACCAAAAAGCCTAACAGAAACAAATTATACCAGGAGTGAAGTTAAATGAAGAGCTGACCAGAAGAGGCACAGAGTATACAGAATTGAAAACATCATCACTGTGGGCCATAAAGCATGAGGCTCTGCTCCCCAACTCCAGGAGGGAATTCTTTTTTTTTTTTTAATTTAAAAAATATATATATATTATTGATTTTTTACAGGCAGGAGAGGAGAGGGAGAGAGAGTTAGAAACATCGATGAGCCGAAGCTGGTTTGGCTCAGTGGTAGAGCGTCAGTCTGCGGACTGAAAGGTCCCAGGTTCGATTCCAGTCAAGGGCATGTACGTTGGTTGCGGGCACATCCCCGGTAGGGGGTGTGCAGGAGGCAGCTGGTCGATGTTTCTCTCTCATTGACGTTTCTAGCTCTCTATCTCTCTCCCTTCCTCTCTGTAAAAAATCTATAAAATATATTTGAAAAAAAAAAAAAAGAAACATCGATGAGAGAGGAACATCAATCAGCTGCCTCCTGCATACCTCCTACTGGGAATATGCCCACAACCAAGGTACATGCCTTTGACTGGAATCGAACCTTGGACTCTTGAGTCCGCAAGCTGATGCTCTATCCACTGAGATAGACTGGTTAGGGCCAGGAGGGAATTCTAATGGGCAGAGTATGTCGCAGCAAAATCTACTTGGCTGTGGTCCCTTGGAACCCACACAAGAAGCTTGAGCTTTTATAATAGATCCTCTCTTTCTTATGGAGAATCCAGCCCATGTGTTCAGGTGGGGCTTACCCTCATGGGCTGAACATATGACTCCAAACTGGTGCTCTCCCACCCTGGCTATTGTGATTGGTTCATGAATGGACGCATGACATAAGCAAGGCCAATCAGAGTCTCTCAGGACAGAATCCAACAACCCCGCTGTGAAGGGCCCGCTGGGACCTCTTTAGCCTCCTGCCCCACCCCCTCTGCTTGGCTTCCACAGTACAGAACAAAGGTCCGGGCAAGGCTCTGCTATTCTCCTCTCCATGGCTCTGCCATTTTCTGGGGATGCCCTTCTTTTGCTACTCACTTTTCTAGTCTTAGCTCAAGGGTCACCTCCTCCAGGAAGTCCTCGGCTCCTCTGGGCTCCTGTATCGCCCCACACTTTCCTGTGTCCGTCCTGATCATACAATGCTGCTCTTAAGTGTCTGAGGGCAGAGACCTGTACGACCCATTCTTGGTCCCCAGAGGTCAGCCCAAGCAAGGCTAGGCCCAGGTGAGGCCTTCCAGAATATTTGCTAAGGATCTGAGAGGCTCTTTAGGTGCAACTAGCAAGATAGACTACTGCAAGCAAGTGGATCAATGACTTTGGGGACCAGTGATGTGGGCAAATGGAGTGGGGGGGGGGACCCAGAGTAACTGGGAGGCGTGGGAGTTGAGGAAGTGGAGGCACCAGGCAACCCATTTTCATATCCCAGCTGCCCTTTTGTCCTCAGCAGCTCAGAACACTCCTTATCATCAGTTCCCCCTTTTTCAGGCCCTCCATGAACAACCCTCTCTGTGCATGTGAGTTCAAATGTCTCCCCAGGAATCCCCAAATTCCCCAATGGTTCCAAACCTCTCTACCAAAGGTACTTTGGCCTGAATGTTGAGGGCCCCCCCCAAAAAAAAATTCGCATGTTGGAATCCTAATGTCTGTGCGATGGTATGAGAAGGTGGAGCCTTTGGGAGGTGATTAGTTCCTGAGGGTGGAGCCTACTGGAAGGGGATTAGTGTTCTAATAAAAGAGACCCCATAGAGCTCCCTTCCACCATGTTAGCACCGTGAAAAGGTACGGGCTCTGGCCCAGGGAGGGAGCCTTCACCTAACCGTGCGAGCACCCCGACCTTGGACTTCCAGCCTTCAGAAGTACGAGAGATGGAGACAACAGACTAAGGTAAAAGACTCCGTAAAACTTGTCCTAATGATTCCTAAATCTCCACCATTAATACCCCAAATTTTCCCTAAAAAATACCCTGCCCAGTGCCGGGAGAGGGTGGTGTGCTCCTTACCTAGGGCTTCTCCTGGGCAGGGAAGCTGGTGTTGGTCTCCTGTGATGGCCGCCAGGGAGGGGGAGGGCAGGTTCCTCCTTTATACTGTATCTCCCCCACACAGCTGCTCAGAAAGGTGACACTCCCCCATCTATTTCTGGATATCTCATCACGGTTCAGGAACACCAGCCTCTGCTCAGTCTGCCCTGGGCCAGTGCTCTCCCCGTAAGAAAGGGGAATCCCTGAAGCTAGAGACAAGGTGGGCTCGGGCGTGGAGGCTCCAGGCTGGAACAACGGCCTCCCGTCTGGATTTGGTCCTGGGCTCAGCACCCCTGGCCTCAGAGCATATCTCCCCATGTTTGTTCCTTTCATGTGAGCATGGAGACTCATCTAAGGTGAAGGAGAGATTCCCAGATCAAGAAGGCTGGGTCTGGGTCCCAGCTCCAGCATTGATTTGCCATGTAATCTTGGAGGACTTTCTGTCTCACTCTGGACTCCTGTTCTATGGCTAGTTTTGACCCCTTCCCTTGGGGCCTTTCTTGGGTTTTCAAGTCTTGGGAACAATTCCCCAAAGCCAGAGGGTGGAGAGAAGACAAAGCCATGATCCCATTAGATCTGTTCCCAGGAACTGTTTGAGAAGGCCTTGCTGTCACAGACAGTATCTTCTGTTCCAGCAACAGCAACAGCTTCAGTCCCTCCAGGCAGGCAAGATATCCTATCTAACAAAGAGGGGATATGCAAATTGTCCATCATGCCATGACAAAGATGGCAGCACCCATAGTCACAAGATGGAGGCACCCAGTTTCCTCGGCCCCGCCCAAGTCCCTCAGTCCTTTCAGCCCCACTGGGGAGGGGACAGGCTCACGGCCAGACCCATTTTCAGCAGCCCAGGGTGGGCCCAAGGTGCAGGCAAGCCTTGGATGTTGGCTTCCCAGCCGCCCAGGCTGCCTGAGGCTCAGGTAACCAGGGCCAGCTGAAGCTTGTGCTGCCGGCAGTGGCAGCAGAGGTGTGACAGGGTCGTCGCCTTCCCCTGATTGCCGGGTCACCTCCTGCCTCTGAGGGCTCCTAGACTGTGAGTGGGCAGGCAGGACTGAGAGCCGCCCCCTCCCTCCCCTTCAGTGCATGAATTTTCATGCATCGGGCCTCTAGTGGAAGCAGATGCTTTTTTCACAGTAATGCCGAACAGTAGAATGGCTTCTGATTTTCTTCTAATCAAGGGACCTTGGAGGTGGCCAGGCTCTTTGGAGGGGCAGAAGGACTTGTCTTGAAGCTGTTTGCCTGAGAAGCATTCTTGCTTTTTTGGTATGCCACTCTTTTTTTTTCTCTTTTTTTTTTTTCCGGAGAGGAAAAGAGAGGGAGAGAGAGATAGAAACATCAATGATGAGAGAGAATCATTGATTGGCTGCCTCCTGCATGCCCCCCATCAGGGACCAAGCCGCCAACCCAGATATGTGTCCTGACTGGGAATTGAACCATGACCTCCTGGTTCATAGGTCAACGCTCAACTGCTGAGCCACACCAGCTGGGCTGGAATGCCACTATTTCACCTCTCACCTTCACCCAAACACAGTTCACCTTCCTTATTATTCTGTAGAAAGGCTTTTTGGAAAAAGCAGGATTCTAGGTGAAGGAAATTTTTTATTTGGTGTGGCAGTCTGAGGGGTGAGGAATAGGGATGGGGCCAAACTAAGGAGCCAGACTAGGATGGAAGCCTGGGGTAAATCTAATCTCCACGCCCACCTCAGCCCCAGCCGGAAGTGGGCAGTCTCTTCAGTCCTAACAATCAGGAACCCCAACTCCTCTGGCCATTCTGGGGGCATACCTCTCTCACCCCCAGAAGCTCAGGCCCTCAGAAAGTTCTTCCCAGAGCTGCCTACTGATACCTCGGCTGGCTCCTTCCCCGTTATCTCTGACTGGGCATCCAAAGCTCAGAGCCAGATTATTTATAGACTGGCCCACACTAGGGGAGGGGAAAGGCCAGTGCTTATAAAACACTGGTCTGGGAGGGAGTCAGGGTGGACCTTGAGGATCTGAAACTGAGAGCTCTGCATCTGGTCCGTCCTTACTGACAGGGAAGGGGGAGAAAGAAAAGGGAGGGGTGGGTGCCCTAAAGAGTGAATCATATGCAAATTGCATGCAAATCAGCGAGTATGCAAGTGGTGACGGAGGTTGGGGGGGCGGGGCAAGGGAGGGAGCGGGCGGCCCTCGCTGGGTTCCCGGGCCTAATGGTCTGGGTACCCGGTTAGACACCCCTGAGGGAGAGGCCCTGAACCACCAGCTCCCTCCCCCAACCCTGGAATTGCTTGGAGCCCAAGAGGGTCCTGGAGAAAGAACTGGCAGTTTGGGGAGGGGAGTCAGCCGTCCAGCCCCTTCTCCCCTCCCGCTCCCCCGGCCAGAGCGTCTGTCGATGGGGAAGAGGTTGGATTACTGCCCGGGGCTATAGTTAGCTGTGGGACTCAGCCGGTCCCGGACCAGCCTGGCTCCTCCTGACACCGAGCGGCACCGCTGTCCCTACCACACCTTCCCGCCCTCTCGGCCTCTGTGACCTCCAGGTGGGTGCCAGGTCCCTGCCCCCGCCCCTCGCCAGGTGGAGTCAAATCCCCTGGACCCCGGCAAACACTTAGGCGGCGGCACAGAGGGTAGAGGCATCCGGGGGTTGGAGGAGCCGGGACTTGGGGCTGTGCTGGGGCTGTGCTGGGGCTGTGCTGGGGCTGTGCTGGGGCTGTGCTGGGGCTGTGCTGGGGCGGAGACGGTAACACCCAAGCCCTGCCCACTTCCTTGGCCCCGCCCACGCCTGGGCCCGCGTCCGGGACCATCTTCACACCAAAGCAGAAAAGGTGTGCACAGTCTCCTCCTCCTCCAGCCTGCTGAAGCCAAGGCTCCACCGCTGCCACTGACCCACCCGCATCCGGACCTCGCTCTCCTGTCTCCCCCAGAGATGATGCAGGCTGCTCTGCTGCTCACCCTCAGCTGCCTCGGCCTTCTCGCCTTCTGGCAGGTAACTGGGGGAACCATCCCCTGCCACCAAGGAAAGAGCTGGTGTTGTGGGCGACCCGCGAATGACGACCACCAGTCAGCCAAATTGAAATTTAGGAAGCCTTTATTACGAACTCGAGTCCGGGCTCACGTTTCAACTGACACAGCAGCGAGCACTCTAAGCATGCTACTTTTATCCCCGTTTTAGGGATGCCTGGCAGATTATGATTGGCTAAAAGTTTTAACAAAGAAAGGTCAGTTATAAGTTATAGAAAAATCCCACTAGTACAGTAACATTTAAAGTTTATACAACACCTGGGGTGGGGGGTTATTTTCAGCTTAAGCAGTCTCTGTTTGACCTGGTTTGGTCTGTTCTGCTTTGCGGCTACTGGAAACAGGACGTGCCTGCCTGGGGGTTGAGCCTTGCAACAGAACTACCCTGTTTCCCCGAAAATAAGACAGCGTCTTATATTAATTTTTTCTCCCAAAGTTGCGCTAGGTCTTATTTTCAGGGGATGTCTTATCGTTCCATGCGCTAGGTCTTATTTTCGGAGGATGTCTTCTTTTCGGGGAAACACGGGTATTTTTTTTAAAATATATATTTTTATTGATTTTTTACAGAGAGGAAGGGAGAGAGACATAGAGAGCTAGAAACATCAATGAGAGAGAAACGACGACCAGCTGCCTCCTGCACACCCTCCACCGGGGATGTGCCCACAACCAACGCACATGCCCCTGACCGGAATCGAACCCGGGACCCTCCAGTCCGCAGACCGACGCTCCACCACTGAGCCAAACCGGTTTCGGCAGAAACACGGGTATTTTATGGCTAACAGTTATGCTTGGCTAAAGCGTATCATGCTACATTCTTTGTTGTGGATCTGGTTGCTCGTTTCTTCCGTGGCCTGGAGCCCTGCTTCGACAGGGTCTTGCTAGCCATCTGGAGCCCTGCCTCACCCGGGTCTTGCAGGCCACAACCCTGGGAGGCAAACTCCTCAAAAATCTCTCCCAGGGACTGTTCTCTAAGACCCCAGTCCTCTCAATGCTCTTCCTCTCTGTAGTCTTCCTCCTCCCCTCCCCCTCCCCCCCCCGCTCCGCCCCCAGTCCTCATTTTCTCTGCCAGAATCCACATCTTCACCCCCTGATCCTCCTGTGATCCTCCTTCCTTCATACTCATCCCTGCCTAGGAACGGCCACTAACTTCCTCATCCCCAATTCCCCATCTCCATCTCCATCCACAGGCTCAGTCTAGGCAAGGTGGGAAGGGCCCCCTATGTTCTACCCTCCTGCAGTCAGTCCCTCCGGGACCAGCGCTCCCACCTACACCTCCCCAGGTCTAGGGCTCACAGCGGGAGAACAGCCGGAGTCTCAGCGCTGACAGTGATTTGGTGTGCTGGCTGAGCACTGCAGGGGAGGGAAAGAGGGTCTGAGGATAGGGCGGGGTCAGGTAATTGGGATACAGTGGCACATCTGTATATCATCTGCACACCGAGACTTAGAGCCAGAACAGTGCTTGGAAGCCATCTCGCCCCGCTTCCCTCTGAGGGAATGACAAGATGCCCTAAAGTTGTACAGAAGTGAAGATCTATATCCTAGCTTCACAACAGCCCTATGGGGTTGGAAGTATGAATTTATAAGTGGAAAACCTGAAGCCCAGAAGAGTTAAGAGACTGGCCAAGATCCCACAGCTAATAAGTGATGAACCCATGTCTGACTCCAGTGCCTACATTATGTAAGCCTTTGGGCTCTTGCCAAATTATATACACCAGATATTTGGACATTAAAAAAAAAAATGAGATTCCGTGTTTCTGAACTGATCTGCCACCTGGCCCCTGCCCAATGCTCTGAATTTATACCCTTTCCTGTGTGGCTGCTCTCTTCCTTACTACATCAGGCCCAGGCTGTTCCCGTCCTGCCCCTGGGCCTGGCCCCTGACACCTTCGATGATGCCTACGCGGGCTGCGCGGAGGAGATGGAGGAGAAGGCAGCCCTTCTGCTGAAGGAGGAGATGGCCCGCCACGTGCTGCTGCGGGAATCCTGGGAGGCAGCCCAGGCGGCCTGGGGGCAGAAGCAGCGAGGGCTCCCACTGCCCGCTGGCTTCAAACCCCAGCATGGAATCGCTATCATGGTCTACACCAACTCGTCCAACAACTTGTACGGGGAGCTGAACCAGGCGGTGCGGACAGGCGGCGTCTCCCGGGAGCACTACCTGAGGCACTTCCCCTTCAAGGCCCTGCATTTCTACCTGACCCGGGCCCTGCAGCTGCTGAAGGGGAGCGGGGGCTGCAGCAAGGGACCCGGGCAGGTGGTGTTCCGAGGTGTAGACACTCTTCGCTTTGAACCCAAGCGGGTGGGGGACTCTGTCCGCTTGGGCCAGTTTGTCTCCAGCACCCTAGACGAGGCAGTGGCCCGGAGATTTGGTAACGCCACCTTCTTCTCCCTGAGGACTTGTTTTGGGGCCCCCATCGAGGCCCTGTCTGTTTTTCCCAAGGAGCGCGAGGTGCTGATCCCTCCCCAAGAAGTCTTCTTGGTCACCAGGTTCTCCCAAGAGGGAGCCCGGAACCTGGTGACTCTCAGCAGCCATAAGACCTGCAGCTACTTTAACTGCGCCTATCTGAGTGGTGAGCTGTGCAGGAGGGAAGCAGGACTGGCAAAGAGGGTGCAATAAGCCGGGATGTCCCTGCCGATCCCCAGGGCCTTCCGGAGATCTCATTGGTTAAGGGTAGAAGTCAGCTGCAGTTACGGTTCTCCGTGACTTAGGTCCTACCAGCTCTTAGAAAGAAGGTCCTGCCAGTGTTTTCCAGATCTGTGCATATTTGCAAATGATTCTGTAAACGTGCTCAAAAGGTCCCATGTGCTATAGAGTCTGATCGAGCAGAGGAGCCCAGCCCAGGGGGTCAGCAAGGAGAGGGAAGTGACAGGAATGCTGCTTCAGGCCTCAGGAGGCCTGGGCTTCGTGGGCCCACAGGACACATCTGTGCTCTTCCCAAGCGGGGAGGCAGGGACAGGGCGGAGCAGTGACAGGAGCTCGGGAGGGAGCAGGGATGGGTAGGCTCTCTGGGAAGACTTCCTGGGGTACGGAGGAGGAAAGGAAGCCAGAAGTTCCCATTTAGGGGAAGGGAAAGATGGATTGAGAAGGGGAAAGGCCAGGGCCAGAGCCCGGTGGGAAGGGGAGTTGGGGTGTGAGGGTCTGTCTACATGAAAGTCTCACCAAGTTGTCTATTCCAGGGGAGAAGAGGCAAGGCTGTATGTCTGTACCAAGTGAGTTACCCTCCTTCTCCTCCCTCAGCTGCTTTGACTCTTCCTGGTCCTGCTGGCCCCTCACCTTCTTTTCTTTTCTCTCCAGCAGGGGGGGCAGCCAGATCTGTCATCCAGCAGGCCCTTCTCCCTGCTCTCCTGGAAGACCCTACACTGGGCCCCCGGGGGGTTCCAGCTCTCAGGAGCTGGGCCCTTGAAAGTCCAAGGCCTGCCACTTAGGGGTCCTGGGAACTGTTGACCTTCATATGAAGAAGGGGGCCTTCGAGAAGCCTCAAGAAGCAAGAACAAAAAAACAAAAAAAGAAGCAAGAACAACAACAACAAAAAAAAAGAAAAAAAGAAAAGAAGCAAGAACATGGTTTCAGACCCAGCCCTAGTAGCCATCTCCCCAACCAGGATGTGTGGGGTCTGAGGCCATGGAAGGGTGGAGACTCCCTGGGACAAGGAAAGGTAGTGCTGTGATGACCTCTTGATTAAAGAGTGGTGACATCGAATTTCATGATTAGTTTATTCCGCGAGACTGGACCATCTGCCCTGCTCTGGCCTTGCAGGACTGAGGGATTTAAAAGAATGACTTTTTTTTTTTCTCTCTCCTAGACATGGTCCCCTGTGCAGATCCCTGTCACACACTATAACTTGCAAACCCAGAAGCTTTAACAGCCTGAAGTTCCTCTCAACATACTGAAGGCAGGAAGGGGACAGATGGATTCCTCTGCTCATGCGTCAGATGAGGAAAGGCAAACCCAAGGAGGGAAGCGACTTGCTCAGAGTCAGAGAGTTAGTGTTGAAAACAGGCCCCCCGCCTCGCAGTCCAGAACTCTTTGCACTAAAGAGCTGAAGGAACTCAAGGTAGGATCCTAAGCCCAAGGTACTCGAGGCCCCAGAGCAAGACGTTTCTCTCTGCCCTGCTCCCACAAGGGCCTGTTTTGGGGGAGGGAAGAGGTCATAAAACACGAAGAGAAAGCGATCCTCACACACTCGGGAGGTATCTGACATCCTGAACAGAAACCTTATCAAGGTGAAGAAAGCAGTGCAGGCTCCTCTGAGATGACCTCCACCCTCAGCCTGTAGCTGCCCTCGTCAGGTACAGAAGGAGCCCTCCCACTGCAGCGGGAACCCTCCTGGGCAGGTCCCAGCCCCCTCTGACTCTTGCTGCTTATGCACCAGCACATGAGCTGAGGAGGAGAGACCAGACTTTCCTCCTCCAGCTGACAACTCCTGTTCTGTCCGCTCCCGTGTCCGGCTGCCTCTTTCCTGTTCATTCAAAACCCGCCCCCGGCCCTTCCTCTGCCAGGACCAGCTGCTGGCCCTCAGCCCTGTAACGTGGAGACCAGGAGAACTGATGGTCGTACCACACCATGAAATATTCTGGGAAAGGAGTGAGAGGACATAGTTGCTCCAAAAAGGTGGGAACAGAATTTAGAATCATAGCTGGAGGGGACCTTGGACACACTCTGGTCCACCTGCCTCACTGGACAGGTGGGGACAAGGGTTTGCCCAAGGACCCACAGCCAAGCCCAGAATCCTTTCTTAGACATTAACCCTTCCTTAGACAGCTCTGTGAGCAGGACAGGAGTTTTATCGCTGATATGGCGTTAGTTCCAGGCCCAAGGTAAAGAACTTGCTTCAAGTCACACAGCAACACGATTACCTGATTACATCTAGAAAAAGAGCCCACAAAGCATAGAGTTAAGTTCATGGAATCCTGGAGGTTGATCTCATGTTCAAAAATCACCTTCCCAGTACACCACAGCATCTTATTTATTAGGCAGTAATTCTCTTCACAGGACCTCAGTCTTCCTTTCAGGAAAATGGGCACAAGGATGCACACCCACTCACTAGGGGAAGATAACTGGACTGCGTCCCAGAGCCCAGAAGTTCCAAAGGGGAAAAGGATGGATCCATCCTTGGGAAAAATAAGGTGCCAGCCATGGTGACAGAAGCCTTGACAACTGGGAGCCGGGGCAGGCTGGGCTCAGAGGAGCCATTAGGCAGAGTCCTGAGGGAATGAGTGGCGGGGAGCAGAGAGAGTGTTTGGTCTCATCAGCCATTCTTGTCAAGAGATTCTCTCCCCAGCTTTAGTCACAGAGGATAAGGAGGCCAAAACCACAGGACCTCATGGCTCATGCCTGAGGGGCCTCCCCACACATGCTGGCGTGTTCCTCTACTTCTCCTGCTGAGAAATGCAGCTGGCAGATAGGGCACTGGATCCAGGACACGGGCGATGAGCTCTCTGAGGACACCCACAGCACAGATGGCGATGAAGGCGGCGATGAGGAGGGAGAGGCGAGGTGAGGAGGGGAGGTCTCTCCACAGGTGGCAGCGTGCTGGGGAAGAATCTCAGCGCTGAAGGAGCCTAAGGGGGAGGGAGAGAGGTAAGCAAAATTGGGGCTGCTCCTGGCACACCCCGAGCAGCCTGTCAAAATGCAGCTGTCTCTGTAGGAACTGAATATTTTACATGGAGACACTGTCCGATCATAAATCCACTAAACATTCATCAAGTGTCTCCTATGTGCCTGACACTGTGCTAGGAGCCAAGGCATTTAAAACCAGGCCCGTCCTTATGGGCTGCAGTTAGAGGTAAAGCTAAGCTATGAACACAAGTAGCTATGACGCAGAGAAGGTGAGAAGTGCTAAGCCCAAGGGGGTGGGAGGAGGCGGCAGGAGCTCAGCTGGAAGAGATTATCTGAGAAGGTTAGAGAAGCCTTGGCAAATAAGTAACATTTGAACAGAGGCTCAGACAGTAAGTAGAATTTGGACACAGAGGAAAAAGGTATGAAGGATATTCTGTGCCCTCTCTGATAGTGTTTTATTTATTTTTATTTTTGGCTTTATTTTTAAGGACATTTTTAAGTATTGTATTGGCTCCTAATGAGCAGAAACAAGTAGAATGAGAAAAAAATCTGATCGTGTTTTATGTGGTTTTGTTCCACGTTTCTCCTTGAGGACATGGCGCCTGTCCCCGCTGCAGCTTGGCCAACACAAAGTGAGCGGGTGCCCAACAAAGACTTGTATGTCCCTGCTCGGCAGACAGAGGCTAGGAGTCCAAGTTCAAATGTTTCCTGGCAGCATTCCCAGATCCATCCCCCCTCAGGGGATGCCTCGAGGTCCCACAACAACCGCCTGTGCCCAAGCAGCTTACCTGCACAGATGGGGCACTCTCCCCTCTCCTGGACACTGCCAGTTTGGGCCTGCAGTCGGTGGGGTTCTCTCCGCCCTGCCTTTGCTCTCCCCTTCCTGTTTGGCTGAGAGTTTGAGTTGGATAAAGGTCTGTGAGGAAGAATAGTCAAAGACCAACTATTAGCAAAAGGCCACAAGGGCCGAAGGAACCTTACCTTAAATTAGGGTGAAAAAAAGGTAACTAGTTGGGGTAGAGCCAGAAGCCCTGCGTTGGAGTCCTGGCTTTCCCACTTGGTGAATCAGACTTTAGGGAAGTCATTTAACCTTTGAACATCTGAGAACAGAACTTCTATTAATGCCTTTAGGTTTACTACATTTTGATGCATATCCCATAAAATTCATTCTTTTAAAGTACACTATTTGATGGTCTTAGGATATTCACAAAGATGTGAAACCACCAGTTATAGAAGTTCACATTTTTGTTTGTTTGTTTTGTTTTTATTAAGGTATTTGTGTACAAATCTTTCCATTTCTCCCCTACATCCATAAATACCCTCCCCTCCCCCCAGAGTTTTTCGTCCATTGGTTTTGCTTATATGCATTTTTATCACTCCCAAAAGGAACTCCCCACTGTTACCAGTATATCCCTACAGACTGTATATGTGTGTGCGTGTGTGTGTGTGTGTGTGTGTGTGTGTGTGTGTATGAGGCCTGATGCACGAAGATTCATGCAAGAATGGGCCTGCCCTCCCCTGGCTGCTGGCACCGCCTTGGCTCTGGCTGGAGCTGCCTTTCTGCCTTGGCTCTGACCAGAGCTGCCTTTCTGCCTTTCCACACTGCCCAGAGGCCGAGAGCTGCTGGGGCAGTGTGGAATGCCTGGGTCATCACCATGGCAACGATGCAAGTGTCCCGCCCCACCCCTGGCCACTCGACCCCTGCATATGCAAATTAACCCACCATCTTTGTTAGGTTAATTTGCATACTCCTGACTGGCTGGCGGGTGTCATGAAGGTATGGTCAATTTGGATATTTCTCTTTTATTAATGTAGATACTACTTAATAAAGAGGGAATATGCTAATTGACCTTCATGCCATCACAATGATGGCAGCACCCACAGCCATTAAGGAGGGAATAGGCTAATTGACTGCCCCACCCTCAAAGATGGCAGTGCCCTCGGCATAAGATATTAGCGCCCAGCCGAAGCTGGTTTGGCTCAGTGGTAGAGCGTCAGTCTGTGGACTGAAGGGTCCCAGGTTTGATTCCAGTCAAGGGCATGTACATTGGTTGCAGGCACATCCCCTGTAGGGGGTGTGCAAGAGGCAGCTGGTCGATGTTTCTCTCTCATCGACGTTTCTAGCTCTCTATCTCTCTCCCTTCCTCTCTGTATAAAATCAATAAAATATATTAAAAAAAAAAAAAAAGATATTAGCGCCCAGTCCCCTCAGCCTTCTGGGGTGTAAGGCGCTAGCTTCCAGAGTTCCCCAATCCCCTCAGCCCACCAGCTGTCCAAGGCCAGCCCAAGGTGCAGGCAAGCCTTGAATGGCAGCTTCCCAGCTGCCCATGGCCAGTCCAAGGCGCAGGCAAGCTTCAGATGGCAGCTGCCCAACCACCGAGGGCTGCCCGAGGCTCAGGTAACCAGGGCCAGCCAAGGCTTGCGCTGCTGGCAATGGCAGCAGCAGAGGTGTGATGGGGCATTGCCTTCCCCTGATTGCCGGGTTGCCTCCCGCCTCTGAGGGCTGCCAGACTGTGAGAGGGGGCAGGCAATGCTGAGGGATGCCCCCTCCAGTGCATGGATTTTCATGCACTGGGCCTCGTGTGTGTGTGTGTGTGTGTGTGTGTGTATCCAATACATCTTCTCTGGAGAAAAATCTTTGTCTATTTGAAATATTTTTTAAATTAGGTTCTTTTATTATTGAGTTGTAAGGTTTCCTTATATATTATAGATAGAAGTCCTTTTTCAAATGTATGATTGGAAGTATTTCCTTACATATTCTATGGGTTATCTTTTTATTTTTTTGAGTGTCTACTGAAGCAGAAAATATTTAAGTTTTAATGACGTCCAACAAGTACCGTGTACTCAGCTTCAAATTCTGGTTCACTACAGGGCTACCTCCTTGCTCAGCTCTAAGCCTGACAAAATGTGGACAAGGACATCTTTTCTCTACTACCCTCTAGGTCCAGACTAGGAGATGTAACTGAAACACGAGTGGGGAAGAAGGACAGGTGAAGGGCAGAAAGGTGTGGGGAGGTGTTATGGGTCTTTCAGGTCGACTTACTTACCTGCGGGCTTGTACTTTTTGTCTTTTCCTCTTGCCCACATCACTCTCCGAGTTTTGCTCCTCTGGTCTGGGCTCTGTGTGAGAAAGCTCATTTACAAAAGGGCCTTCAGCCCTGGCCAGCATAGCTCAGTAGTTAGAACATTCAATTCCTGGTCAAGGGCACATACCTGGGTTGCAGGTCTGATGTGTAGGAGGCAACCAATCCATGTATCTCTGTCACATTAACATTTCTCTCTTTGTCTCTCTACCCTCCTCCCTTCTCTGCCATTCTCTCTAGAATCAATGAAAAAACAAAAATCCTCACTCCACCAGTGAGGATAAAAAAGTAAAGAAAACAAAAACAAAAGGGCCTTCACAAATGATGTTCCTTCTTTTAAAAAATATTCTTTCTATCCTCTTTTCCTGGTTAATTCTCACTCTAAGTCTTAGAGGAAATGCTAATTCCTATGAGGACGTTTCCCTGGGTTCTCTACTCTAAATGTGGTCATCCTGCACTTAACACAGTTTAGATTTCCTGTGTGACACTGACACAGCCTCTCCATTGGGGCAGGAGCACCGCTGCTTTATTTGCTGCGATACCCCTGGCACCTAGCACAGAGCCTTGCGCGGAGATGCTCAATAAATATGTCAACTGAGTAATAATAACAAAACCCATCAACAGCCATCTGTCTGGTAACTCAACACTTATGAAATACTGTGCATGGTGTTTCATATGCTTCAAAGTGCTTCCATGGCTCCAGTGCCC